GCACCAACCACTAAAGCCAGTGAGGCTGAAATAGAAGAATTCTACCAACTTCTTCCATTTGAAATTGATCAAACATGCAACCAAGATGTATTGATCATTACTGGCAATTGGAATGCAAAGGTTGGGAACAAAGAGGAAGGATCAGTGGTTGGAAAATGTGGCCTTCTTGATAGAAATGATGTTGGGGAATACAAGATAGATTTCTGCAAAACCAATGATTTGTTCATTTCAAATACCTTCTTTAGAAAGCATAAGTATACATATGAACCTCACCAGAAGGAATACATAGAAATCAAATTGACTACATCTGTGGAAAAAGAAGATGGAAAAGCTCCATATCATCAGTGAAAACAAGGCCAGAGGCAGACTGTGGAACAGACCATCAATTACTCACATGCAAATTCAAACTGAAGCTGAAGAAAATGAAAATAATTCCACGAGAGCCAAATATGACCTTGAATATATCCCACCTGAATTTAGGGATCATCTGAAGAACAGGTTTGATACATTAAACACTCAAGACCAAAATCCAGAAGAGTTGTGGGATGACATCAAGAACATCATATTGAAAGAAAGCAAAAAGTCATTGAGAAGACAAGTAAGGAAGAAAAGGTCAAAATGGATGTCAGACGAGACACTGAAACTTGCTCTCCAGCGTAGAGAAGAAAGGAGGAGGAGGTCCAAGAGCTGAACAGAAAATTTCAAAGCTCCATATAATCAAAAGCCTTCACGTAGTCAGAATATCTTTCTGATATTCTCTGCTTTCAGCCAAGATCCATTGGAAATCAGCAATGATATCCTTCATTCCATGTCCTCTTCTGAATCTGGTTTGAACCTCTGGAAGTTCTCTGTCAATGTATGCTTGCAGCCATTCCTGTATTACCTTTAGTAAAACTATACTAGCATGGGATATCAAAGATATTGTCCAATGAACTTCTTTTTACTCTTTTGGTGAGCATAAGAAATTAAATTTTAGGAGATCCTAGTTATTGATCTTCTGTTGTTCATGCATTTTTGGTTGTGTTTGATAATGTATTTATACAAAAAATTAGGACCATCTAGTTTTGTCCTTATGTTATTTTATAGGAACTTTATAGTTTTAGTTTTAGCATTTAGGTCTGTGATACATTTTGAGTAAATTTTTATGTATGGTGTGAGGTAAGTATTCTATTGCACTTTTTTGCAAATGGTTTTCCAGTTTTGCTAACATCCGTTATTAAAGAGACTCCATTTCTTCCCCCATCAAATTGATTTAACCCTTTATCAAAGACTAGTTATCCATAGATGTTTGGATTTACTACAGTTCCATTGGTCTTTATGTCTGTTGTTGTACTAGTACCAGGCTGTTTTGATTACTGTGGCTTTAAATTCTGAGACCAAGAAGTGTGAGGCCTCCTCCTTTTTTATTCTTCTTCAATATTGATTTAGCTAGTTGGAGTCTCTCCCCTTTCTATATAAAGTTGGTGATTATTAGAAGCATCTTTAAAATCCAAACACCTCTAGAAGGGTAATGGTGTCTGAAGATTTAATTGTATGTTCAATTTAAATTTGTTTTGGGGGTCCAAAAATTTTTTTTTTACAATGAATTCAAGATATAAGATAAAGCTGTTAAAACATTATTAGAATATCATTCTAGAGAGATAAAATGAATCAAACAAATATGAGTAAACCATGGGAATGAATACAATCACTGAGGTTAAGTATTAGATCTCATCTGAGTAAACCAGCAATCAAGCACCCATCTAAAAAAATAAGCAAAAGTGGTGCAGGTTATCAGTAAATCACTGGTGGTGGCTGTGTGCCATCAAATAGGTTCCGACTCATAGTGACCATGTATAGGACTTCCAAGACTGTAAATCTTTACAGAACTAGCAAGCCTCATCTTTTTCCTGAGGAGAGGCTAGTGGATTTGAGCTGCTGATCTTGTGGTTTGCAGCCCAATGCATAGCCCACTATGCCACCAGTAATATAATCAAATATGCTCATCTGATGGAGTGGGCACTCAAGATATTTGTGACTATAAATGATAAAAACAGTTGCCTTCAACTCATGGTGGCTTCCAATGACTGATTTTTTTTTTTTTTTTTTTAAGTAGATCACCAGGCCTTTATTCCAAGGCATTTCTGAGTGGACTCAAACTGCCAGTCTTTTGATTAGCAGTACACACAGTAGTAGTTTATACAATTGAGAGACTCCATAAATGGTAAGTACATAAATCAAATGAGGCTTTCCTGAAAGGCAGAGGCTGCTAAACTGGATGAAGCAGAGGAAGTGGGGTTAATGATGAGTCCTAAAAAAAGACATTAGCAGGGGAATTAAGTAAATCTGAGTTTGAACCCTGGCTCTGTCTTTATTAAGTATGTAAACTCAAACAAATTACTTCTCTTCATTGTCTCGTCTTTATCCTTCAACAGTGGGTCAAAATAGCATCTACCTTGTTACCTTGCTGGGAACAGTCTCATTGATGACATATGTATGCAGATAAATAAAAAATATTGCTACTAGGGTTCCAGTTTCAACATACACAGATTTAGTCCAAACAAAACATATGTAAACCTGTCTCTGTGATTGGCGGATGACTGCAGACAAGTTCTCTCAGTAATACACTTGTCTTAGCCTCCTCAGGATACCTTCAAAACAAAAAGTCCAATCAAAATAGTGGTTTCCTAGGGGATCTCCTGGGCTAGTTAAATTCAAGACAAAGTTTATCTTAGAAGGTCATGGCAACTGTTTTTTGTGATTCCAAAGAGGCAATCTTGATAGACTTTCTTGAAGGACTCAAGATCATGAAGGCTTATTAGGAAGAAGTTTTAAAAACAAAACAAAACAAAACCCCCCAGAAAACTGCAGTGGTGAGAAAAAGGCCAAGAAAGTTGTGATGAGGAATTGTCATAGTTCTTCAAGGGTAGCAAGGACTGCCCTATGAGAATTTCATTGGGAAACCTTACCTCATCTACTCTATAGCTTGATCTTGCCCCATCCAAACATCTTTTTGTTCCCCACTCTCAAAGAACATTAAGATGGAATACATCCCCTAAGGTTGCCCAAACTTCTATTTTGATGTGGTGTAACTCAGAGTACAAAATTATTCAGGGACAGGTTAGATGGAAACATTGCCTTTAGAAGTGTATAGACCTACATGGAGGATACGTTGAGAAACAATAGCTTCACATCTTGATGTTTTTGTTTAATAAAGGTTTCTATGATTTTAAATTATTCTCATACAGTGCTATGCACAGAGCCTAGCATACAGGAAATGCTTCATAAAAGTTAAAAGTTAGTGGCTGTCCTACTATTTTCACCACTTGTCTCTGGGAGTTGGGGCCATTCTAGATCAGTGGTATAATCTCTCTACAGAGAGGACTCCACTTTCCATGAACATGGTTCTAGATGATGGGTCTTAGAGCTTGGTGGAAATCTGTGGGAAACTGAGGGCAAATCGATTGTCTTGGCTCCTGGAGAAGTAGGGAAGAGGAGGTATTTCTGATGTAGGGTATAAAGGAAAAGTTGTATTAGTTGGATTTGTAGAAGGAATAATGGCTTTGACTCTGGAGCTATTGTTTGGGGAGGTAAGTAGCCAGGGACTGTGGGAAGCGTCCTATTCTGGCATCAAAGCCCTATAGCTGTATCCCCTTGGCCTTCTTGAATGCCCACCTGAGGAGCTTGCTTCTTCTTGCCCTGCCTCCGTTCCAGCCACTCCAGTACTCTAGTAAGATCAGATATGCGCCTCTCCTCCACCGATTTCCACATGGACTTGCGCTCGGTGGGCATCACATCCTTCAGATTCTCTGCCTTCTCAGACATGATGGAGTTCTGGTCTAGTCAGGGCTTGGGGGAGAGGGTGGCACTCTCTCACTGTCTTGATTGTTAGGTCTCTACTCACTGACTTAAGATGATGAAGAAGGTAGAGTGGCCTTCAGATGTGAACATAAAGGGCTGAGTTAGACAAAGCAGTTGGAATATTGACCTTAAAAGGTGAGGCTTGGGGTAGGGGCAGGAGGTGATTATGAGGTCACTGTCAAGCTTGTTGGCTGGCCTGGGGGTGAGAGTTGAGCTGGGTCATTGGTTATCACCTTTCCCCACGTGGCCACTGGCCCTCTTTAGGTACCATCTCTCACCTGGACTCTGCCACAGTCTTCTTATATCTTGCCACCTCCTGTTCTATACAGATTTCACTAAAACAAAGGTCAGTATCTCCCTTTCTAAAAAAAACTTCAATGGTTCCCTGCTACTTTTTTTTTTTGAAAAAGTTCAAAATTCCTTGTGTGGCATCCAGGCTTTCCACAACAAACTCTAATAGAAACGAAGCTTTCATGGACTCAGTTTCACCTATATTCATTCACTTATTCATATAGTTAGTTATCAGATGCCTACTATGTGTTAAGCATTGTGCTGTTGTTGTTGTTAAGTGTCGCTGAGTCGGTTCCAAATCATAGCAACTCTGTATAGGGTTTCCAAGGAAAAGCTGGTGGGTTTGAATGCCGATCTTATGGTTCGAAGTTCAATGCTGATCTTACAGCACTATACAAGTGCTCAGTACATAATGACAAACTAAGATGAATGTTCTGAAGGAACAGGAAGGAATTCTAAAAGTATCATGCCATGGATCCAGACTTGGACAGAGTTGATCCAGACTTGATCACACTTGGGCATAGAGGCTTCAGTGGAGCTCTGGACCAGAAGGACAAGCATGTGAAAACCCCTGTTGCAGGATTGAGGTATGGTACACTGAAGAACAGTATGAGGCCAGGGTGTCTTCAGGTGGTATACAGGCCATACAAGACTTTGGAAGCCACAAGGAGGAGTCTTAGCAAAGAAAGAAAATGAAGGGATTACAGTGGAGGAAGGAGTGACAGTGGAGGAAGGATCTTTGTTTACATAAACTTGTTATGGAAGAAAACTATATATAGAAATGTGCTAAAATCACAAATGAAGACATCAGTGTAAATCAGAACCCCAAAGTTTCTCCTGATGCCCCTTGCTAGTCACTACCCAGGGGTAATTTGACTTCTAACTCTGTAGATTTATTTCCCCTGTTTTTGAAAGTTTTATAAATATAACTATGCACCACATACTCTTTTGTATCTGGTTTCTTTCACTTTACAATATATTTGTGAGCTTCATCCACAAGCTCAGACTGTCTTGCTGCTATTCTTCAAATCCTCTGGGTTTTTGTGCTTTCAACATTTGTTTGTGCTCTGCTCTTAGACTTGAATATCCTTTCCTGATTTCTCTACCTGTAAAAACTTTCCTCATTCTTCCCTTGACATGTCCTATCTCCTCTGGAAAGCCTTTCTTGGCTTCCCCTCAGCAGAATTAATTTATTCTTCCACTGGGTTCCTCCAATGCTTTGCTCATGATTCTTTTTTTTTTTCTCAAGTTTTTATTGTGAACTGAGTGATAGTTTAAATGGGAGAACATTGACTGTATACCATGATTTCACTACAGTGATTACAATCTCCTCCATGCATCATCATTCAACAGTGTTTGCTTCTATTCCCTCTGTTTTTTTGGGGGGAGGCAGGGCTGTGAGGGGTGGGATGTACACAAAAACACTCAGGAATATATGATAATTTAAATGACCAAAGGGCATATCTGCAAGCCTGCTTCCTGGCCGCCAGCATCCAGTCTCTCTCTTTCCCTGAGTCCAGAGTCCTCAGCTGCTCCCTTTCTCCATGTCCTCACCTCTGCCTCCATCTCTGGTGTTGCTGCTTATCTGGATACAGTCCCGCATTTCACCTATAGGGTTTCTGAGGAGCAACTGAGGGGTTGCTATCACATGGTTAGCACTCCAGCGATTATCCTACAGTGCCACAAAATATCAAGTGCCAAAAAAAAAAAAAGCCTAAAATTCACAATCTCTGGCACCCAGTAGAAAATATCAAGTTTTCAAAAACGCAGAAAATACAATGAGGAGAAGAGTAAGTCAAACATGACCCATATCTCACACAGATATTAGGATTAACAATCATATTTAAATTTGCTATTATACCTTTATTTCTTATGCTTAAAAGTTAGAGGAAATACTGGACATAATAAGTAAGGAAATTAAAAACAACCCAAATCAAACTTTTCAGGAGGAAAATGGCAGTCTATAATAAAAAATAACCTTGATGACATTAGTGGCAGATTGGACATTATGAAAGTACAGATTAGTAAACTTGGACGCATACAAAATGATCGAATGAAAATAAAAATATATAAAACATTTAGATTCTCTATTTCCTTTTGGAAGTTGTTCTTTTCTAGCCACTTTTTCATTTCCCCCATGTTTTAAAATTGTTGATACATATTTCTTGGCATAACATTCCCTATAATTCTCTCAATTTCTATTGGTCTGTAGTGATCTCCTCTTTCAGCCCTAATTTCTTTCTTTCTTTTTTTTAAGTTTTTGTGTGAATTGAGTGATCGTTTACATGGAAGAACATCAGCTTTACACTCATCCTATTGTATTTCATTTCATTGCAATGATTACAATCCCCTCCGTGCATCATCATTCAATAGTATTTGCTTCTATTTCCTCCAGATTTTTTTTTTTTTTGGGGGGGGGGTAGATATACATCAAAACACTAAGGAATATGCAATTATTCAAACACCCAAAGGGCATACCCTGCAAGCCTGCTCCCCGCCACCAGCACACAGCCCTTCTTTCTCCATGTGTCTAGAGTCACCAGCTACTCCATCTCTCCACATCATCATCTCTGCCTCCATCTCTGGCATCACTGCTCCTCTAGATAGGGTCCCACACTCCACTCTTCTCCCTTGATGGTCCCAGGGTCCTTCTCTTCTGGACTGCAAGATCCACCTCCCCCCCTTTTTTTGCTACAAAATGTCTATCCTTACAGTTGCAACAATCACAATCAGTCATGATAACAATTACTCACTATTGAACCGCAGGAGTCTTATCCCCATCTCCTTTCACCAGTCCTGTCTAGACAGGTTGAAAACCACTCAGTGGAGATTCTACCTTCCCCCGCACCCTCTGAAATGAAACTCCCTCTTGAAAACTTGTAAGCCAGTCACTTCATGCCTTTATAGTTCCCCCCCCCCCCATTTTAGGCAGCTAATGTGTAAATTGTCTGTCCCTATCAACCAGTAGACCATCAGTAGACCAATGTGGTTGCCAGCAAGGTTATATGCCTGCTTGTGTATTCCCTTTGAGTTTCAGTCTTGGAAGGGGATTTTCCCTCAAGGGATTTAATTGTTTGCCTTGATGGCTCCCTTGTAGACAACTTGCTTGTTCTTGTGGTAGTCAATCAGGCTGACATTTTTGTTTTTTATTTTTCCAGCTGGTCTTTCTTTCAAGAAGTATCTTTTGTTCCTCTAGCTGCTCCAGGCTGGTCTGTTTGTCTTTTCAGGTAGAAAGTTCCCACCTCAGAAGAATCTGGATGGGGATCAGGATTTCACCTAGGGTCTTGTACATTATAAAGGCTCCCCAGGAAGCCTCTTTCACTGGGCAAGTTCTAGCCCTCCTTTTAGGTATTCTAATCAGTTACAGTCTGAAGATGGATTTATAAGCATGTTTCTGGCTATTTCTTTCTCTCCCCCTCAAGTGTCTATTTCACAATAACAGGCAAGGGAAACCAAAATTCATAAGACAGTCAAGCATCTTAACATTATTTTCCCTCTTCTACCCATTCAGAATATGCCTCAATCCCTGTATCACAGAGCCCTGTTGTTCCAAGGTTGAATATGCATCACTATTTACCTCTGTACCATTTAGCCCATGCAAACCTGCCTAAATGCTCTCCTATCTGCCTGGTTCTTCCATTCCCCTCCCTCTTTTTGTGTATTGCCTCTCTTCAACACCCGAACTATTGTGTGTCTATTCCTTACCCTATGCTTTCCCTCTCCCTCCCCTCCCCTCAGCAACCGCCCCCCCCACTCCCAATAGCAACAAAAACTTTTTTTTTTCTCTTTTAGTGTGAGTATTTTTTCTTAAGCTTTTACAATAATAGTCTTATGCAGTATTTCTCCTTTTGTGACTGACTAATTTCACTCAACATAATGTCCTCAAGGTTCATCCATGTTATATGGTAGCTTACAGCTTTCTTATGATTCTTCAAGGTAGTATAATATTCCATTATGTGGATGTACTCAACCCTAATTTTGATAATATCTATCTTCTCTGGTTTTCCTCTGTAGCTAAAAGTTTAATTTTGTTGATCTTTTCACAATGCATATTTTGCTTCATTAAGTTTTCCTACTGCTATTTGCTTTTCTAGTTAATTGGTTTGTGCTTTAAGTTTTATAAGTTCCTTTCTTCTATTTGCTTTGGTTGTTGTTTGCTTGTTTTGAGTTTAGTTTCAGCTTCTTTTTCTGGTTTCTAAAGGTTGAAGCTTCGTTATTTATTTAAGACACATCTTATGATTATAGAGCTTTAAAACTATACAATTCCCTCTAAATACTGACTGCATCCCATAAATTTTGTCACTTCAATTTAAAATGCTTTATAATATATCCAGTGATTTTTTCTTTAATTCATGGGTTATTTAGAGGTATGTTGTCTTAGTTCCAAACATTTGGAGATTTCCAAGATTTCTTTCTGCTGTTGGGTTTTTATTGAGATCAAATAACATAATTTTTATTTTTCAATATCTCTACATGCATTGTAATATAGCCAGTGATTTTTCTTTAATTCATGGGTTATTTACAGGTATGTTGTCTTTAGTTCCAAAATATTTGGAGATTTCCAAGATTTACTTCATCTGTAGGTTTTTTATTGAGATCAAAGAACATAATTTTTAATATTTCAATATCTATACATGCATCAAAACTTTTTTCAGGGTCTATCCTGGAGTATG